CCAGCACTCGGGAGGCAGAGGCAGGGGGATCTCTGTGAGACTAAGGCTACTGTAGTCTGCATAGAGAGTTCCAAGCCAGCTGGGGCTACAGGGAGACCTGTCTCAAAAAAAAAAAAAAAAAAAAAAAAAGAGAGAGAGCGAGAGAGAGAAAGAAAAAAGGAAAAGATTCAGGTAGAGATGTATTGTCTGTCTTTTTTCTGTTTATGACAGCTTTATCAGTCTTTCTGCTAGATGGCCTAGTTCCTCCTTGGCATAGAAGGGCACACTTAGAAAGATATACTTCAAGTTATGTGCGTGTGCACGTGCATGTGGGTGAGTGAGGAGGCCAGAGGGATAGGATTCCCTGGAGCTGGAGTTATGGGCTGTTGTGAAGCTGCCTGATGTGGGAGCTAGGAACTGAACTTTTTGGGTTCTCTGGAAGAGCAGGAAGTACTCTTAACTGCTGAGCCATCTCTCCAGCCCCCAAAGATGTACTTTTTAAAAAAATATTTTATTTATTATTTTTATTTTACATGTATGAGTGTGTTGCCTGCATGTATGTGAGTGCACCTGTGTCATGCAGGACCTCAGAGGTCAGAAGAGGGCTTCGGATTCCCCTGGAACTGGAGTTAAGGATGGTTCGTAGCCATCATGCGGGTGCTGGGAATCAAACCTGGATCCCCTGCAAGAGCAGTCAGTGCTCTTAACTGCTGAGCCATCTTTCCAGCCCCCAGAGATGTATTTTTGTTTGTTTTTTTGAGACAGGGTCTCCCTGTAGCCCCAGCTGCCCTGGAACTCACTATGTAGACCAGGCTGGCCTTGAACTCACAGAGATCCACTTGGCTCTGCCTCCCAAGTGCTGGGACTACAGGCGTTCACCACCATGCCTGGCCAAAGATTTTAATTTAAGGTAAGCAAGGGAAATTGTTCTGTATACTTGCAAAGGTGACTGTGCCAAGATCTTCTCTCAGCCTAATACATTTTCAAACGCTTTGACTTTGTCCTGACAAAGGTTATATGTGAATACAATCTGATACTATCTAAATAATTATTACTGTATAGGCTAGCAAAATTTGATCTTGCTTGTTAAAAATGTTGTTAAAAAATAAGGTAGGGCCTGAAGAGATAGCTCAGTTGGCAAACTGCTTGCCTTGCAGGCAGAAGGACCTGAATTCAATCCCTGCACCCACATAAACATGCTAGGCATAGTGGTACACATTTGTAATCCCAGTGCAGGAAGTGAGGGGTAGCAGTTGAGGGCATAAGAGGAGAATCCCTGGGGCTTGCTAGACAATCAGTCTAATGTAATTGGTGAGCTACAGGCCAATGAGATCTTGTCTCAAAGGTGGTAGACAAAGTTTCTGAAGCTGTCCTGTGGCCTCCATGCATACCCACACAAATACATGCACCTGTACATGCATGAAAACATGCACACACATACACACACACACATACACAAGTATATAGAAAAGATACTTACTTGATTTTTTTCCCTTTATCTGCTTACTTCTATCTGAGATTCAATCATAAATGGATTAAACCTAACCACTCTATGGGCTTCAATTTAATTTGGTATTTCAACTCTGAAAATATTTATATCATGGGCTGAGCATGGTGGCACACCCTTCTAATCCAAGAACTCGGGAGGCAGAGACTGGATTTCTCTAAGATAGAGACCAGTCTGATCTATATAAATAAGTTTCAGGCCAGCTGGGGCTACAGGAAGACCGTGCCTCAACAAAACAAAACAAGCAATAAAATTTATAGTTAGGATAGAGAATTCTCAAAGACATTTACTTTGCGAATGAATTTTAAAAGTTTACTTCCAAATGAGCATACCCGGACTGTAGACTGTCTGACACACCATAGAATGAGTCACATGTTTTGTAACTTTGGCATCTTAGGGACACTTTCTTATGGGAAATGAATGTTCTTTAACTTCGTCCAGAGGAAGTTATTAGTAGATATGAATGCTTGAAGTTTCTAAGATTTTGGTGCTCTTTGTGAAAGCAGCCCCCAGGATGATAAGGTATTTGATTTCTGTTCCCTGCTGTTCTTTAACAGTTAATGTTGAGGGGTAGATACAATGAGTCAAAACACAGATAATGTGGTCACCCTTTGAGTCATACTAGCTATTAGGCCTGTAGGACTTGATTGTAGGTTGTTGGAATGTGAAGACTGTGTCAGTCAAAATAGATAAGAGTTGAGTTAATTCTGAAAAAGCATAGGAGATGCAGTCAGTGAGCAAAAATTGGCAGTCAGTTGGCCTCTGACATGACAAATCCTCATAGTATAAAAATAAATGGCATTTTAATGACTGCCTTAGTCCTGTGGGCATTTTAGATATCTTCAGCTATTTCTCAGGACAGATGTAGGAACAGAACAAGAAAAGTATGGTGACTTAATTTTTTTTTTTTCAGTCTTTTTGAGACAGGGATTCCCTATAGCTCCAACTGGCTTGGAACTTACTATGCAGACCAGGCTGGCCTTGAACTCACAGAGATCCACGCCTCTGCCTCTGCCTCCCAAGTGCTGGGATTAAAGGTGTGTGACACTATGCCCAGACAACTTGATTCAAAAACAAAACAAAACAAAACACAGGTTGTCACAATGTAGCCTTTGCTGGCCTGGAACTCTCTTTGTAGTCTAGGCTGATCTTGAACTGTCTCAGCCTCCTGAGTGCTGGGATTATGGGTGTGAACCATTATGCCCAGCTGGTGATTGAAATGTTTAATTTTACAAGGTTAAGGAAACGTGGTATCTTCCAGTTCAAATAAATCCTGTTCACAGGACCTTCAGAGCAAAAGACCAATCCACCTGGCCCTGCCTTTCTAGATGATTCTTCTAACCTACGTGTATCACTACTTTTATCTGTGGACTTTGTTTTCCTTTATTCACCCACTTTTCTAAAATTGTTTAGAAAATGTGCAAAAAATTAGCATTGCTATTGATAGAAATGGTTCTAATACAGGATCATTTCCTTATTTGTATTTACATGTTATAAAGTAGATTTGTTAAAATTTCCTAGAGAAATCCTGACTGTTTCCTATGGCTACCGTGGAAAGAAAGGAAAGGACAGTGTATTCAGTGGAGCGATGGGGGCCAAAGAGGTGGAGTCTGCTATGCCATCTCCTCATGCTGTCCTCACCATGGTTCAGTACATTCAGCTCCTTCATTCAATTGCAGTTATTTTTGAGGGGTTTTAAAAATATTTTATTTATTATTTTTATCTTATGTGTATGGTGTATTGCCTGCATGTATGTAAGTGCACCAGTGTCGTGCAATGCCCATGTAAGTCAGAAGAGGATGTTAGATTCCCCTGGAACTGGAGTTATAGACTGTCATGTGGGTGCCCCAGTTTTGAGGCTTTATTGGTTAAAAGCTGTCCAAAGAAAATACCAGGGATTTAAGAAGGGTCTTTGAAGACAATCTAGGGCAGCAGTTTTCAATCTTTGCCTCTGAAGTACATCAAATAGTCCAGAAAATGAATTTATAGCCAACTGGTTTGGGGACATGTCCCAAGTGACAGTGCAAACAAAACTTTTTTTTTTCTTTTTTCTTTTTTTTTTTGAGACTGGCTAGCCTGGAACTCATGATATAGACCAGGCTGACTTTGACCTCACAAGAGCTCCATATACATCTGCCTCCTGAGTGCTAGAATTAAAGTGTGTGCCACCACACCCAGCAACATTTTTGCTTTAACGTTAGCTTAAAAATCATGGAGGGAAAAAAGTCATGGGTAGATTGGGGATACAGCTCGGTTGGTTGAGTGCTTGCCTAGCATGGGTTCTGCTGCTAGTACCACATAAAACTAGAGCTAGTAAAACACACCTGTAATCTCAGCATTGGGAGGTAGAAGCAGGAGATCACAAATTTAACATCATCCTGAGCTGCACAGTGAGGTCAAGGCCAGCTTGGAATATGTGAGACCCTGTCTCAAAAAGAAAAAAAGAGGCTGGAAAGATGGTTCAGTGGTTAAGAGCACATACTGCTTTTGCAGAGGACCCAAGTTCAGATCCCAGCACCACATCAGGTGGCTCACAACTATCTGTAACTCCAGCTCCAAGAGATCCACCCCCTCTTCTGGCCTCCACAGGCAATTGAATTCACATGCACAAATACACACACAGACACATAATTAAATATAAATATAAAAAAAAGAAAATGGCCTGGAGAGATGGCTCAGCGGTTAAGAACACTGGTTGTTCTTGCAGAAGACCAGGGTTTGAATCCCATCACCCATATGGCAGCTAACAACTGTCCATAACTCTAGTTCCAGGGCATCTGACAGCCTCTTCTGTCCTCCACAGGCATTGCACGACACGGGTGCATTTACCTACATGCAGGCAATACACACATGCACATAAAATAATAAAAAAATAAAACAAGAAACTACAGGCAGTTTGTATTCTTATCCACTATTTGTGTTATGGTGTGTGTGTGTGTATTTGAAGCACCTTCCATTTTTTATAGGCTGTACATAGTACTTGAAAATGTAATGAATTTGTGGGGGTGTGTTTGTTTCTCTCTCTCTCTCTCTTTTTTTTGGTCTTTTTGAGACAATTTCTCCCTGTATTCTCCGTGTAGCCCCAGCTGGCCTGAAACTCACTATGTAGACCAGGCTGGCCCTGAACTCACAGAGATCCACCTGCCTCTGCCTTTCAGGGCTAGGACTAAAGGCTAATGCCACAAGCCACACCCCCATTTTGTTTCTCTTTTGTTTGGTAAAAGATTTCTAATTGTGGGTGAGTAATCTTTTTTGCGTATCTATTTAGGAGTGGATTGCACTCCTAAAATCTCAAAGAACCACAATGTAACATACCATGTAAATGTGAGAGCTTTTTTTCCTTTTTTATTTTTTTTTTTTAGTTTTCTTTGCAACTTTGGTCCTCTCAAGTTGAGTCTTTTATTGAAGTGAACAATTAATAGAGGGATTTTGGAATGTGGAGTAGGAGGAGAGTCTTTTCTTTGACATGTATGATCAGGATCAGATACAAGATTAACCATTGGTATAATTTCAGGAGGGAGCATTGGCAGTTGCTGGGTAATTTGAAGACTACTGTGGAGGGTTTGGTGTCAGCCAACTGCCCCAATGTCTGGTCCAAGTATGGTGGCCTGGAGCGGCTTTGCAGGGACATGCAGAGCATTCTATATCATGGGCTCATCCATGACCAGGTATGTAAAACTTTTTTTTGTCTAATTGACTGAATCACTTGGAAATAAATATTTGCATTAAATTGGTTGGCAGAGAAGATATGAAGACCAATGATTTGTGAGTTGTTGAGGGCAGAACTGAGGAGACACGGTCTGTGTGTGTGTGTGTGTGTTGTGCAGAAATGTTCAGAGCTGGAATTACAGGCAGTTATAAATTGCAAACCACCTGATATGGGTGCTGAGAATTGAACCTGGGTCCTCTAGAAGAATAATATGTGCTCTTAACCACTTAGCTATCTTGCCAACCCCCAAGAATTCATTTTTGAAAAACATTTAAAAACTCTAGCAAGTATGAAAGGGCCTACTGAAAACAAGAGGTAAAAAGATAGAAAGGTTAGTGTGAGTAGTTAATGGGAAGGACACATCTAAGAAATAATCCTAAATTAAAAAAAATTTATTATTTTTATTTTATGTGTATGTGTGTATTGCCTGCATGTAGGTATGTGCACCCATGTAGTGCAATGCCCGCAGAGGACAGAAGAGGCTGTCGAATCCCCTGGAAATGGAGTTATGGGCAGTTGTTAGCTGCCATGTGGGTGCTGGGATTCAAACCTGGGTCTTCTGCAAGAACAGTCAGTGTTCTTAACTGCTGAGCCAATGCTCCAGCCCCAATAATCTTAAAATTTTTAGACTATCCTTTAATCATTACTTTGTAGACAACTGGTTAATGTTTAGGAATGACAGTTTTTGTGCTCGCCGGCTGTGGCTGCTCTCCTCCAGCTATGGCCACTCTCTTGCTCTCTTAGTTCCTCCAATCAGTTGTCCGGTCCAGACCCCAGGGCTGGTGAGGAGTCTGCACCAGCATCGCCGCATTCAGATGCAGGAGACCAGGTTCAGTGACATCTGCTTTATTGCAAGGAAGTACGGGCTTATATAAGGGTAATAGTCCACTCATAACAAAGCATATGGGATCCCTTTTTAGCATGGCAGACTAGTATCCTATTATAATCTAGTGGGCCAGATGCCCCATTGGCATGATAAGTTTCAGTTTCTAAACAGGAAGCAATGCATTCCAGCATGATAGGTATGTAAGGCAAAAGGCAAAATCAGTCACAAGATTTTCCACAACAAGTTTTGATTATTTTCAGTACAAACTTTATCAATGTTGATTTAATTTTCCTTCAAATTGTTCAACATTCTAATAAACTGAGTTTTGAAAATGAGTCCAATAATAATTGGTTTTGCTTTATCTTTAACATTTACTCCATTTGCATTGTTTTAAATACAGTTTCTTGTTCTAGATAAAATTGTCAGTTATTTGGGTTTAGTATCCTCCACTTAAAAATTAAACCTCAAGGGGCCAGACATGGTGGCCATGCCTTTAATCCCAGTAGAGGCAGGAAGAGCTCTGTGAGTTCGAGGCCAGCCTGGTCTACATAGTGAGTTCCAGGCCAGCTGGGGCTATAGGGAGACCCTGTCTCAAAAAGACCAGAAAAAAAAAATTAAACCTCAAGGGGGCTGAGTGATAGCTGTGCAAGCATGAAGACCTGCATTCTGTCCTCCAGACCCACAGTTCCACATTTAAAAAAAAAAGCCAGGTTCTGAGGATGTGGAGACAAGTGAAAGAAACATTGAGCAGCAATGGTCTCACCTTTTTGTTGTTGTTGTTACTTTTTTATTTTTTGTTTATTTTAAGAGTATATTTTATTTATTCTGGGCTGGAGAGATGGTTCAGGGGCTAAGAGCACTGGCTGCTCTTGCAGAAGGCCCAGGTTCGATCCCCAGCACCCACACAATGGCCAACATCCTTCTGTAATTTCCTTCAGTTCCAGAGAATTCAGTGCCCTCTTCTGACTGCCACAGGTATTGCATGACATGGGTGCAGTTACATACATGCAGGCAATACACTCATACATAAAAAATAAAAAACTAAAGTATTAAAAGAGAATATATCTTATTTTTTGACAATTTGATACATGTATTCAATATATCTTTTTCACTTTTTATTTTTATTTTTAAAAAATATTTAGGGGCTGGAGAGATGGCTCAGCCGTTAAGAACACTGGTTGTTCTTGCAGAAAAACCAGGTTCGAATCCCAGCACCCACATGGCAGCTAACAACTGTCCATAACTCCAGTCCTAGAGGATCCAACAGCCTCTTCTGACCTCCACAGTCATTGCACAACACGGGTGCATTTACCTACATGCAGACAATGCACGCATACACATAAAATAAAAATAAATAAAATAGTTTTAAAAATATTAAAAAGTACTTACTTTTTTATTTTATGTATATTAGTGTATTGCCTGCATATAGGTAAGTGCACCTGTGTTGTACAATGCTCGTGGAGGTCAGAAGAGGGCATTAATCCCCTGGAACTGGATTTATAGATGGCTGTTAGCTACCATGTGGGTGCTGGGAATCAAATCTGGGTCCTCTGCAAGAGCAGCTGATGCTTAACCATAACCATTGAGCCATCTCTCCAACCCCTGCATACAGCATATCTTGATCATATCCAACTTTTCCTCTTCCTCCCATCTCCCTGAAGACTCCCTATTTTTTCTCTCTGTTTCTTTTTTTCTTTTCTTTTTTTTTTGACCTTTTTTTTTGAGACAGTGAGACATGTTCTCCCTATAGTTCCAGCTAGTCTGGAACTTGCTATATAGACCAGGCTGGCCTAGAACTCACTGAGATTAAAGTATGTGCCACCATGCTGGCTTGTGCTCTCTCTCTCTCTCTCTCCATCTCTCTCTCTCTTTTCCTTTCCTTTCCTTTTTCCTTTCCTTTCCTTTCCCCTTCCCTTCCCTTCCCTTCCCTTCCCTTCTTCCCTTCCCTTCTTCCCTTCCCTTCCCCCCGGCCGCGGGACTTTCAACGGGGTACCTGGAGTGAGGAGTGGGGATTGAATGGGGCAAGAGACACAGAGAATGGAGACAAGACAGTGCTCTGATCAAGTCTCCTCTATTGAACGTCTGCACAAAGCTTTTATAGGGAAGCAGAGGGCGGAAGAAGCTGGGCGGGTAAGTTCCGCTGTTTACCGCACATTCCACAGCCAGACCATAGGCAAGATGTTTTTACAGGATAAGGAAATTTACAAGGTTGAGGCAGAAAAACATGTTTTTCACAAAGTCCT